CCAGAATCTCCTCGTGAGTGTTTAAAACAAAACTCTAAAATGCATTTTGAATTATGAAAATTATAAAATTTCTTAAACGCTTCCAAAACTTACAAAAATATCGAAAATCGCGTAAAACACGATCAAACAAAAATAGAGGCTTAAGAATGAAGAAGTCGGCTAAAATAATGTCAAGAGTGAAGCGAAACATTTTTCGAACTGTCCAAAGCTTTCTAAATATTTATTTAACTCTATATTTATTTGTACAAAAATCTCATCTTGTTTTTCGCAAAATTCCGCGGCTTCTACCGTCCCCAACACCGTCAAAAGCCCCAGATTTTCGACAGCTTACTCTGCCCTCAGCAGTAAATCCCCGGGATTATTCACCGTTTCCAGGGGATACAAAATCCCCCACAAACCCCAATATTCACCGAATATACAGAAAAACTGTGGTTCTGATGATCGAACCCGACAAATCACTTTTATAAGGTTTCCCGGCGAAAAAAATGACTGTATTATTGGATTTTTGGGGATTTGTTTTGGAGTGGGATTATCTGGGGTAACCTGTTAATTAACTCCCGAAAAACTAGAGACTCCAGGGGTCCTTTGACGCACATTGGGCAGCTGATTTGAGGGCGGAAGGAAGCGGAAATATTGGATCGAGATTAGGATCCCGGGGAAGGACGGTTTTAAAGGGATGATGACAGCTAGCAGCCCTCCCTCCCCTCTCTCTGTTGCCCCCTCTCCCTCCATCCCTCCCCCCCTCTCTCTCTCTCTCTCTCTCTCTCTCTCTGGCGTCCTTTCGCTTTCTCGGTCTCCCACTCACGCTATCGCTCTCAACCACGCTCTCCCGCCCGCTATAGCTCTCTCCCTCGCAATCATGATTTCAAGATCCAGCCCTGTCTGTCTCACTGTCTCTCGTGCTCATTCTCTCACTCACTCTCTCTTTCTGTTTCTCTTCGTTATAACTCTCACTCTAGCTCACTCGCGAGCTTGATCTCTAGTTCCAGATTTCTCTCTCTGTCTCTCTCTCTCTCACCTTCCCTATCTCTTTCTCTCCCTCTCTCTCTAGCACTTTCCCTCTCTCCCTCTGCTGTCTCTCTCGGCCCCCTTCTCCCTCTCCTCTCTCTATCTCCAGGTCGGTCTCTCGCTCTCTCGCTCTCTTATAATCCTTATAACACCCTTCTACAAAAAAGGAACGGCTGATCGCCTTCTAGAGCTTCCCCCCTGACGCAGAAAGCCATCATCCCCTCCCTGTCTATAGTATCGGATCGGAACCCCCATCCAGACATGGCCACTGTTTTGTATTCTAGACCCACCGAAAATCGTGCGTGTGGGGGAGGCTAAAAATGGAAATCGGTATTCGCAACAGCCGTATTCTCGTGGAAAACTAGATTCCACCCCCATCCTCCTACATCCACCGTATTTCAGCCGAGAAGTTGTGGTGGCGCGTTGCGGCGAGTTCTGCCGGGCCCAACATTGACTACAAGAAGCTCGTGGCGCCCCTCAAGAGGTCCCGGCTTCTCCTTTCCCTGCAGGCAGCAGTCCTTCGAAAATAGGTATGTTTTTGAGAAAAAATTTGCTAAGATTATGATTGCTGGCTTATAAAGTGTGTACAAACCTTTAATTATGCCAAAGCCAGCGCCCAAAACCCGCTTCGCGGGCCTTGGGCGCTGGAATGCGGCCTTTACATGAAAAGTTTGACTTTCTGATAGCTCCTTCGGACCCCCACCCCCGACCAAACTCTCGAGTGCAACTGGCAAGAATGAGGAAATGTGTATTTTTTCGCATTATGCAAATGAGCCCTCCTGGACCCCCCGAAAAATGAATAAAACCGGCTTTAACTTTGTAAACTTGGATTTTATCAAAATTCTGAGAACGTCATCGGAAACAGAAGGGTCGATTCCACCGGGTGACGAAGAATTAGGGCTTTTTATGCATGGGAAGGCCCTCAAATCGAACCTCGAAAGTGACATCCACACACACACACACAAAGATACACGCCAAAATTATATAAGGTAGGAAAAATTATATAAGGTAGGATATAAAATTCGGGCTCTCAAAAAAATTCTCCAAGAAAATCCGCACGCGCCTTGTAACTCGCTGCTTCCGTGCAGCGACGCAACGCATCGACGCATCGACGCCGCTTCAAAAACCCGTTTTTAAGCCATCGTGAACGCGTTGCGTGCGTTGCGTCCTTGACTGGCGCATTGCTTATGTTAATTTTCTTCAGCGCCCCGCTTCAATGTCCCTTAAAAGCTGGAAATCCGTCAATTTTTCGGATATTTCTAGGAAATATGCTATTTGAAAGCCTGTAAAAACGCTTAAAATTGCACAGTTTAAAGGGCTGGCAAACACAAAATTCTACCCTTATCCTGCCACTAGGTCTCGACAACTTGACTAGACGCCATAGTATCCATGTAAGGCGCTAACCATCAAAAGTTTACTTTGCGCGTATCATTGGCATATATCGTAATTGTCAAGACTTAGGGAACTTCAGGGTAGATTTTCGCACTTTCAGGTTTTTTAAAGGACTAGCAGCTATTCAAAATTCAGGCATTATCGCGAATAATCGAGAGCTCAAAATTCCCCTCTTACCTATCCACATCCTGCTACATAAAAAACGATCTCCAAGCAGGGCGCGGAGAAGGAAAATTTCCGATTTCTTGGCACCACCCGATCGTGTTGGCCTTGACTCGTCTGATTGTCTTTGCGCCCGGCCGATTTTGGTCAAAAACTGCCCTCGCCTGGCCGGAAAAAGAATCATTTTGTTTCATACCTATTTCTCTAAAAGGCCTTGAAAACACAGCTTTGGTAGACAATATTTTTTCTGAATCTGTGTCAGTGCGCGTCATTCCGAAAATAAACAAAATAATTGATTTTATCGTCATTCGTTTCAGCCAAAGCTACCCAGAGCGACTGCGTCTACCTGCGGCCGCCCTGATCCTCCACGCCCTCCATTCTCTCTGCTCTGCCCCGTGAATTTCGTGAAGATTACGGTCAAACCGGTGCCCGCCGCCCAACCCGCTAAGGTAAGGGCAATCTAGATTTTTTAATAACCGTAAAACTTTGCCAAAAAGGTTAAAAATTTGCAACGTTTGGCCTTACATCACCAACTTTGCAATTTTGCGGATCTTTACCATTGTTGAAACATACAACAATCACTAATTCAAAATTCAAAATTTTAGTGGCAAGCTTCCGCAGATTTATAAAAAATATTTTCCGTAAAAATATGCAATTTAAGCTGCCCGAAAAAAAATTCACTGAATTTTTTAGTTCAATTTGAAATTGGGAATAAAAAATAGATTAGACTATATTAATTGGTTCAAAGCTAGGCAATAAGGCGGAATAAGAGTTAATTTACCTTTTAAGTTCCTAGCTTCTATCTAAATTTTTGTTTTTCCCCATTTCCTAGCAACAATTTCCCCATCGCCACAAAACCCCCGTCTAAAAATCCATCAAATGTTCCCCGAAGGCCTCCAGAAAAATTCATCGACTCCAAAAGACATAGAATATTTTCCATTCCCCCCACTGACCTCCCACTCCTCGAAAAAAGGGTTTTGCGATAGCGTGCAGAATAAATTACATAGTCGTCCGTGTTTACAGGATTCTTGGGGAGAGAGAGAGAGAGAGAGAGAGAGAGAGCGAGAGAGAGAGAGAGAGAGAGAGAGAGATAGAGAGAGAGAAAGACGGGGAGGGAGAGACGGTTGTCCAAAAAATTCCATTGCAATAATCGGGCAAAGCTGAATTTTATAGCATAAAGGGGAGGCGGGCCGAACTTTTCACCTGACTTTTCCCTTCTAGCATTTTCACAGCTTTTGCCCTTTGAAATCCATCAACTACGCTAGAATGCTATTTGCATATTTGCATCAGGAAGACCCGCAACCATCGGTGTATTATGATTACGGCGGTTATTGGGTGAGAAAACGTTTAGAAAATTTAAAGGTTATTTTCACCAAAGAATATTTTTAAAATGTACTGGTTTAAAGCTTTGATAATTTAATTTTGAGGTAATTAAATAGTTATACCATTTAAATCATAAATTTTCTGTTAGGTCTCATAAAAATCGATAATCTACAATGCCCGGACGCCGAATTTCCACGGTACATTTCCCCTTCCTGGCATGGTGTTGAAATATAGCTGATTCCAAAATCCCGACAAGGTCCCCTAGCAGAGTGTGAATTTTTTCAAGTCAAGTTTAAATATCCTATCCTATAAGCGAGAAAAGTATGTGTGTTTTCTGTGCAGCCAGTTTCTCGGCCGTTAGGGCGAATTTCCGGCTGATTTTTGGCATGGAGGTGCAGAAACACATTTGCCAGAAACGCATTTTTTTGTTTTTCGAAATTCCTTCATTTAACAATTTTACAAGCAAAATGGTGAAAATCCTTAACAAAATGTGCGACGAGCCGTGGTGTCCGGGCCATAACTCGAAGCCCTGATGGAATTTCGGGCTGAAATTTGGACCACTTATGTATTCGATAGTGGGGATCACGCGCATCTTATTATTTTTACAAATTTTCGGCGCATTCATACTCAAAAAGAGAATTTTGTAAAGTTATCCCAAGTCCGCCCTCCCGGGTTGAACCCCGCCCCCAGGACAGAAGAGGCCTTTCCCGCCTCCGGTCGCCATGGTCCCCTTGGTACAGTGGTTGACGCCCGGTCTAGCGCACACTAAGACGAGGGTTCGGATCCTGACGAAACATAACTTTTGCTTTTTGGTGGTTCATCAACAGAACATCATTCTAGGCTCTCGGTGCGCGAAGTTTAGGTCTGGCTCTCGCTCTAGCGCCGCAGGCCAAAGAAAAGGTCCTTGGCCCGGGCTCTAGCGCCGCAGGCCAAATCCTGGAGAAAAACCAGTAGCTAGCGCCGCAGGCCAGAGAATGGCTTCTAGAGTCAGGCTCTTGCGCCGCAGGCTTGAAAAACGAAAGGGGAATATATGGTTCCTAGACGGGGGCCAGTGGAAAAGGGCCGCGAAGCGGTCATTTTCCACTGGTATCAGTATATACAATATTTTTTTTCAGATGGGAACGGCCACGAAACGCGCCCAGACGGGCTCCCCGACCTATTTCCGCCCCGCGCCGTCGGAGATCAACTTCGGGAAGATGAGGTTCCTGATCACGGACAGACCGTCGAATGCCACCATCAACTCCTATATTGAGGTAAGTATTATTAGTAACTTACAAATTATTTACTACGTAGAGGTTTATATAAGGCTGTCCGTACGTTTAATGTCCAGTACGGGGTACGTAGTAATTAAAGTTGCGTGCGTACTTGGGGAGGTCCGTATACTTGGCCCGTGTCTACACACACGAGTACACGCCATTACGTACAGGCGTGGGTATAGTCCTGAGTATGTAAGTACTTACCTGCGTACGTACGGTAATACGCGTGTTACTAGGTGCGGTACGTACGCTACTTCATTAGTACCTCTCTGCGTGAGTACGGTACTACAAATGCCGCGAAGTCCGCACGCTACTACGTACGATACCACGACCGCTATTACGTATTTTAGTACGTACGTTCGGTACTACGCATATGCTGACGTGCGTAAGGTCGTACGGATCCTCGCAGCAAAACCTCCGTATTTTTGTTCATTGGCCACTTCCTAGAACTGTTTTTTTCTGTTTTCGGTCACGATCCGAGGAATCGGATCTATTTATCAGATGATTTGGGGCGCATGCGTCAAAAAACGAGCCCTACGGAATGTTTTTGAAGCGAGGGATGGAGAGAGAGGGGGAGGGGGGGGGGGGGGGGGGGGGGAGAGGGGGGGGGGGGGGGGGGGAGAGAGAGAGGGGGGGAGAGGGGGAGAGGGGGGGGGAAAGCCTTGGCACGCGTCAAGCTCCGAACGGGGCAAACAGCCCCCCCTCCCAAAATTCCCGTGACCCCACTGAAAAAGCGAAAAAAGCTGCTGGCCATGTGGTTGGGAGGCGGCCATACCACCTTGAGGAAACATGAGAAAAATGGGCGAAGAAGGGGGGCCCAGCTGATATTTTAGGGGTGGAAAACAAATGTTTTCTGAGTTAAAAGCTCTGAAACATGCCGAAAACTGTTAAAGGGACTGACCAGACATTAATATCGATTTTCCGCATTTTATGGATTTTATGGCGTAACGTATTGAGATTCCGATCGCGTTTGAGCCACTAAAAGACATCATAAAAATTTCGTATTTTTTAGGAGCTCGAGAAGCACAAGGCGTGTGCTGTGGTGCGAGTGTGTGAGCCGAGCTATGAGACCGATCCGCTCAGGACACACGGCATTGATGTGTTGGATTGGGAATTCAACGATGGAAGTCCACCACCACCGGAAGTAAGAAATCTCTCTCACTCGCTCTCTCTCTCTCTCTCTCTCTCTCTCTCTGTCTCTCGCTATCACTCACTTCAAGCTTCTTTCCAGGTGATCGAGAAATGGCTGCATCTAGCCAAGGAGATGTTCAAGGAGCACGAGGGTCAATGTATTGCCGTCCATTGCGTGGCAGGGCTGGGAAGAGCTCCAGTTCTTGTCGCGTTGGCACTCATTGAAGCCGGGATGAAGTACGAGGATGCTGTCGAGCTCATCAGGAAGTACGGTTTTCCTCTTACCAAAATTTAAAATGATCCCAAAAGATAGAATTTGCTCATTTCCGAAAGAATTGTGCTAGCGTGCCAAAAAAATCAGAAGTTGCGCATTTTCAAAAAAGATCCTGGTTAGTTTGGCAAAATTTAGTTTGGTTAACACTAAGGAATTTTGCGAATTTTCCAAAGAATCTCTGCTAGCTTGCCAAAGTAACTAAAAATAAAAAAAATTAAGTTTATTTCGAAATCGTCAGAAATATGAAAACGCCAAATTTACTCAAAAAATCACCGCTAGCTTGCTAAAAATCCGGATTTATGCAAATTCTTCTTTCCAGGAACCGCCGCGGCGCCCTCAACCAAAAGCAGCTGATCTTCCTGGAGAAGTACAAGCCGACCGGGGAGTTGCGCAAGCTCAAATACAAGGGCATCGACGGGAAGCACAGGGCGTGCTGCATCCAATAGATTACGACACGGAATCGGGGTACCGTATCCTGGTACGCCATAGTACGCTACAATACTCTTTCCACCTAACCACAATCGAATTGCAATGAATCCCCGTGCCTAATTGTCTTGTCTTTTTCTTGAAAAGTGCTGTAACAAGCCGTGAATAATCGAATTCTTTCGGGGTTGCGGATTTTAAAGGAACGTTGAAGGCTGAAATCCATAAAAATTTAATTTTGAAAATTTTCAGAAAAATATAGAATTTTAATTTGTAATCGAAATAATCCTTCAATGGCCCTTTAATAGCCAACCCTCAAAAAAAATAAAATATGACCAACCCTTTCACAATTTTGTTTTTCTACAGTAAGCTGGAGCCAGAGAAAAAGCCATAAAAACATGACTTTTCTCTGCGTCTCTCGCTCCCTGCCCCTATATCTCCTCATCCCGGTTCGTATCGTTTTAAGGCAAAGCTAGGGATTTTTGCCTTAAAATTTTTTTTAAAACCCCCTTTTTCAAGCCCCTTTAAAGGGGGGGAAGGGAAAAAAGGGGGTTGGTTTTGGGGGTGGGGGAGGGGAGTGGCGCGAAGGGGGGGGGGGGGCGGCCTTTTCGCTGCGCCGCGTTCTTAGCGGCGGCCGCGTCGCGTTTCGGTAAAAATAAGGATTGCGCCGAGCCGCGACACGCAACGCACACGCCGGCGCGTGACACCATCTTGTAATCGGTTGCGCCTGCTTCACGCGTCTCGCGCTCGCGGTAAAATACTCCAGATTGATTGTGCCGCCGCACCGCGACAAGGAACGCGTTTCTGCTCGCCATTCCTTTGCTTAATCGATTACGACGCCTAAATCCATCTGGCGATGGGCGGTGCGTGTCGCGATCACGGTCAAATCTAAAGAATCCATAGCCATAAAATCCATACCCATGCCTTGTTCGTCCCATAAAATGCTAGCTCCCCAGCTCGTACTCTCCTCCTCCTCTATGTCTTGCTCCCAATGCTGGCCCATATCAATATACTTGTGTGTTGGTGAACAAATGAAATAGGACCCGTATTTTTGGAATTTGATTTTTTAATTATCTTTTTTTTGTCTTTTACCGTCCCGTATTCTTTCTCACCCATATGAGTTTTCGGTGTTTTCATGTTTTTTGGTGGTATAAAAATTGTTCGGTTTTTTTGTCTAAAAACACCATCATGTATCATACACACTTTTTAAAAAATTATAGACGACATGTCGTAAAGGTTTCTCGAGTTGCGAAAAAATCCGGTTGCGGCGCGAAAAATGGAGCCCTTTATGTCGAAGGTCGGGCGAATGGCGGGAAGAGCCGAAATTTGAAATTCCCAGAGATCTCCGGCTGAATAACTTTTTTATGCTGTTTTTTGTGGGCCAAATTTGTTTTTTTGAAAACTACGAAACTATTGCAAATTGAGCTACGATTAAGCGGCAATTTGCTGATTTCGATGGTTCCTCGAAGAAATCATCGATTTTCGGAGGATTTTAAGGTGTTTTCAGCTGTGTTTTTAGAATTGCCATAGCTTCGGGTTTTACCATTCATTTTCTACACTCGAACGTTTTTAGATGTTAAGATTACCTGAGCAATTAATTGCCGATGTACTTGATCGGCTGGAGCCAGACGACCTCGCCACCCTCCAGCGGACCACCAAGGGATTCAGGTCAGTTGTGCCGTTTCAAGTAATAATATATCGGAAATCGGACTTTGAAACTCTATAATGAAATAGAACTCGATCCTTACTTGCTATTTATTTAGGCATATAATTCTACGACGTGGATTGTTCCCGGGCCGTGTCCGAGCCCTCTATATTCATGGAACAGCGGCAAAAGTTAAGCAGAAAAAGGTCAGTACATTTTACTGGTTTTTGCCTTCGATCCCGGAATTAAAATTTTTCAATATGATTCATTGCAAGTTCTGGTTTTATCTTTATCCTGATCTGGTCGTGCCAAAATTCAAGATTAGGTGTCGCTGAGCTCGTTCGAATTCGGAGTGGAGAGTCGGGACGGAACGGTGATACTCGCCAACAATCGCCACAACGCCATTTTCCATCTGAGAGGGGCGAAGTGCGTTGAAGAACCTGATAACTTGACTTGGTTTATAGTAGAGATGTTATTATGCAAATCAAATCCTACTCAAATCCGATTTGATTTGAATAAGAAGATTTGAGATTTGATTTCGCCGAAATCAAATCTGGATATTTGAAACTGGTTGGACTTTCAAAACATCTAGAGTTGACCAGCGCTGACCCTCCCCCCACATTTTGAAATTGTAATTTGAATGTAAAATTTGGCTGTATTCCCGGTCGGTCGGTCAGTCGGCGGGCGTACGGACATTAGAAATTTATAGATAGCAGATATAGATAGCAGATAGCAGATTTGAGAAACTTTCAAATCTGGAGTCATCTCACGGATGTAAATCACAAGTCGAGCACCAAAAAATGTAGGGAAAGAGGGAAATTTTGATTTTTTGCATATGATTATTCTATCCTATAAGCGAAAAAAGTATGTCTGTTTTCTGTGCAGCCGATTTCTCGGCCGTCTGACCTAATTTCAAGCTGATTTTTGGCATAAAGGCGGAGAAATGCATTTGTCAGACACGCATTTTTTGTTTTGCGAAATTCTTCCATTTAGCAATTTTACCAGCAAAATAGTAAAAATCCTTAACAAAATGGGCGGCGAGCCGTGGTGTTCGGGCCATAACTCGAATCCCTGATCGAACTTCGGTCTGTAATTTGGAGCACTTATGTATACGATAGTGGGGATCACGCGCATCTTATTATACGGCGCATCGGGTTTCAGCCCCTTTTATCTCCTGACCAATAATCAGCGCTTAAGGGCGTGGATCAGACTCCTTCCGTTTTAAAGGCGCTCGGGAGCGAAAATTAGCATTAGGATCATGCGGCGCGGCGGCGTTGCGGCCGCATCTGGCTATATGCCCGCAATCAACTCGGAGGGGCTTGGACCAGACTTCTTACAAGCATTGTTAGCCCTTTTAAATTTAGGGGGTCACCCGATGCAGGCGAGTCGGACGATCATGGCTATCACCGCTACAAAGGGCCACACGCACAAAATCGCCGATTCCGGTTCGTTCATTGGTTTCAGTTCTTCGTGTCGTCATCGGCTTTTCGATTTAGAAAAAAACGCTGTTTATTCACCCCCATAAACCAAAACCTATCCCACTTTAGGCTACGGTTTACTCTACATTCCCCCCCCAGCCGAGAGGTTATGACTATACAGGGTGTCCCAATAAAGAAGGTCACGCTGGCATTTTACTATTTCAAATCCGATCGACTTGAAATTTTGCACAGAGGTGCGGAAGGGAATTCAAAATGTTCACAGAAACTTCCAGCCCGATCGATACAGTACTTTTCGAGTTATAGCCAAAATAAACTTTATTTTACGTTTTTCACCTGGATTCCGCCGGAATTCAGCCCTGGAATGTATGGAGAAAATGAAGCGCCGACCCTTTTTTATCCTAGGAATTTTTTATTTCGCAAAATTTGGGTCGAAAATAGGCTATTTGAGTATTTTTTAACAAGGGCTAACGACGCCGATGTTAAGAAGAATAAGGGATTTAGAGCCGGAAATTTATGTTAATTGATGCAAAGCCCAAAAAGATAGCCGAAAAAATGAAGCTAAATTGTGGGAAAAACAGTATTTTTACAATAACTCGAAAACTACTGTACCGATCGGGCTGAAAGTTTCTGTGAACATTTTAAATTCCCTTCCGGACCTCTGTGCAAAATTTCAGCTCGATCGGATTTGAAATAGCAAAATGCCAGCGTGACTTTTTTTATTGGGACACCCTGTAATTGTTTTATTTTATGCTCAAATTAAAGCTCCTAGTATTTTTTCGATGATCTATAGAATGGCGTTAAGAAAATCCCGAAAAACGATCGGAAACTTTCGGCGACCTCAGGCTGTGGGGGCGGGGAGGGGGGGGAAGTAAACTCTTTCCCTATTTTATCACCAGGGTGTGTCTGATGCGACAGCAAGGGTTCTCGCGGCAACTACTACGCCTACTGGGCCGTATTCGTGCCGTCCAGGAATTAACGCTACAGATCAAGAAATATCACCCTGTAATACGCCGAGACCCGCTGATACTCAGCTTGCCTTTTCCCCAGGAAAAGAAAATGAAGAATGAAGAGGTAAGAACATAACTAACTGATAATATATTTCTCGCACTGAAACATCAGAAACATTACCAACCAAGAAAAACCCCCAAGATTTTTGAAAGGGCGGTGAAGATTGTTTTGATTGAAGATTTTGAGGTGGCGGCGTTTTCCTGATCGATTTTTAGCACACGAGATGGCGTCGATTGAAGAGAAATGTCGGCTTAAAAAAGCAGCGGCTGCTTAAGGTAGGTGTTTTATCTACCTTGTTCGGGGGTGAGGGAAAGTCGCGATCCAGCTCCACACAACAATAAAAAATACAAACACTAAAAACAGAAAGTTCTAAGGTGTCAAACGAAATCTGAACCCGCGAGCATGAGCTTAGCCTGAGATTTTTTTGATGATTACCGGACATTTTTGGTTTTGGGAGTCTGGAAAGGCCATCAACTTTATGATCATTAACGAATACTTTTTCAGCTTGTCACTCGCAAGTCGGATGGACGAGCAATGCTAACGGATGGGAGACAGGTACTCACTACAAGTTTCGACAGCGCCTCATGCACTATTTCTATATTTTTCGTTATTATTTTAGCTCGGGCGCGTGATTTCTCGAATCACCCATATCGGCTGGTGCCGATACTCGATGTGCTTCAAGTATCTATTCCGGAACGTGCCACGCTTCCTGGGCGGGCGCCCGGATTGTTTTGATCTCAATGAGGTACACTGAAATAATAATTTTATGACTGCAACAGCGGCCAAATCCGATTTCGAAATATTGACTGGCAGGTCGTTTCAGGAATTTAGCATACCACTGCAGCATGATTTCCAGAGATCTCGTCGACCGGTACGTTCAAAACGCGTTTCAAAAAGAGAAGCGAACGACATTGCTGAGAAGCAAATTTTAAATAATTTCAGCGTGAAGTAAAAGGGTACCGGAGGCAGTGTGAAGGATGGCCTGGGAAAGCATTGATATGGAGAATTGAAACTCGTTTCTACGAATGGCTGTCGGTGCGTAGCAAAAGGACAAAAGTGGTGACCCAAAAAATCCCCCTCTAGGTCGGGAGAATCAGATTTTATGGAGAGCCTCTCCGTTTTTCGGCAAGCCTGTAGAGGGATTGAATTGTTTGTACTTTTTTTTTTTTTTATTTTTTATTTTAAAAAAAAAAAAAAAAAAAAAAAATTATAAAAAAAAAAAAAAAAAAAAAAAAAAAAAAAAAAAAAAAAAAAAAAAAAAAAAAAAAAAAAAAAAAAAAAAAAAAAAAAAAAAAAAAAAAAAAAAAAAAAAAAAAAAAAAAAAAAAAAAAAAAAAAAAAAAAATGATAAAAAAGAATAGAAAAGGGGGGAAGAAAAAGGGGGAGAAGAGTGTGGTAATGGGTTTATGTAATAGAATTAAAAATTTTTTTTTTTAAAACATTAAAATACTTTTTACAGGAATTTATTCAACGTCCGAAGGAATCCCGCCGACCTGGTTTTTTGTACATTTTCGTTGGGAAAGGTTCGCCACACCGGGATGGCCACGATATATTCTCCAAAAGGATACAGGTAAAATTAAAAACATATTCCAGGGGCTGCTGCGTCTTTTTTGGGGCAAAAGCGGTCACATACCTGAGGAGAAAATCAAATAATAATTTTTCTATCTTTTTCTACCACGGAAAACATTTTGAGCTACGCGGCACACATTAGGTTTAGAATGTCCAGAAATAGAGCGCACACACATAAAAGTTTTGAAAAATTGCTATTTTTGATCCTCAAATTAGGTTTTTGTAAATTCTCGGTCATCCTGTTTCTTCGGAACCAATTAGCATTCGCGGTGAGCTAGCTTATAAAAAGGGGGAGAGGGCGCGCTGTCATTTTTTTGTCATAGTCATCGGAAAGAACTAGAGGGTGTCTCATAGAAAACCCCCCTCGGCATTTGGCCGCCTTATTGCCGATCGAGCTGAAATTTTGAGGGGAGGTGCGGAAGGCCAAAAACTATATAACGCGCTCGGTTAAAAAGCTTTAGGTCGCAGGATACGCGAGAAAACGCAAAAAGAAACGTACACAGGGCAATTTGCTTTACAAGATAAGGCTCATTTGCATCCGAAAATTGCATAAAATTCAATGGTTTAACTGATGACAAAACATGTTTTTCAACAAATCCTACTATATATAAAAAAATAGTGTCTGTGTGTGTGTGTGTGTGCCACTTTGCATCCACTTCCGTCTGTCTGTCCAGAGGATATCTCAAAAAGGAACGGGTACTAGGCTACGTATGATACGTCATTGGGTGCGTAATGGTCTAGGGATCACTGCACACATATCAGCTTTTTAAAAATTGGCCATTTTCGCTATTAAATTTGGGTTTTTGTAAAAACCTCTTTGTTAGGGATAATTAGCATAGAGCGGAAGTGGGTGGTCGCCTATATAAAGAGGAAGAAAGGGTTCTTTTCATTTTTTTGTTTGTTTTCTGAATGGAGGACAATTATGCAAAGGGCAGAATATTATGGGGTCCGAGAGGGAGCCAGGGTTGAAAAGTCGCGAAGCGGCTTTTCAACCCTGGTTAACGTTATAAAAAAGAAAAAGCGTCATGTTTGCGAGGCAGGAGTCCAATGGCTTCTCCATCTAGTTCGCACCCCTTTTTGGCGCCGAAGGCTGAAGGCTTAATGAAGGCTTAATGGCTGCTAATTTGGTGATGGAAGATTCATCGCGCTTTCTCGCGCGTATCCGGCTACTGAAACCTTTCTAAACTAACACCTTATATAGTTTTTGGCCTTCTGCACCTCCCCTCAAAATTTCAGCTCGATCGGCAATAAGGCGGCCAAATGACGATGGGAGGCCTTTTTATGAAAGCGTAAGCGTTCATAGGGCCAGGCTAGACAGGGCCAGCAGGGTTGCAAACACAGCGAAGCGGTTTTTCAACCCTGGTTTTTAGTGAAAATATGAGTTCATAGGCTGGAGTTGCGGCCCATCTGCCGGCTTTCGTGCAAATAGACTGGCCTCAAGAAAGCGAAGCAGTGGCGAAGATTCGAAAAGCATTCGACAGATATGTGGCACTGAGGGAGCAGCCGTACAGGGAGCCTCCCGAGCTACACAATCTATGGCGGGGAAAATATGTGAGACATTCGGTTACGGCTCTTAATAATTATGCTTGTCCGTCGGTCTTTCAGGCTGTACAAAAGGAAGAAAAGCGTTTTCAGGAACTGGGTCCGCTCTGCGTGTGTCGTTTCTACCGCGAGGTTGGACGCAGCTCTGGTTGGTTATGGTGATGCTATAGCGGTTATACATGCAGTTTCTTGCGCTTCTTGAAGAGGATCTTCATAATCATGTTTTTTCTTAAAGTGCATGCATTAACGCATTGAGAAGATTCAGAAACGCCTCCCCTCGGGTCATAATGTTGGACATGGAAACAAATCATTTCATATGCAACCCGGCAGAACTCCAAAATTCTAGGAAATTTCTTGCAAAATAGTGTACTTAAGTAAAAACATGGTTTTGAAGATTGTTTCCTACTCGCCGTTTTAAGGGATTCCGAATAGTGTAACTATGATTCCGATCCGATACTTCTGCGTCGAATTAGGGGCTTTTTATTGGGGCACCATCTCGATCTCGGGATCAAGCAGTATCACGATGACTTTATTACAGAGATTGCGGATGTTTAACGTAAGGCAACAAAATACCGTATTTCCTCTAATATAGCCACCCCCTCCCCAGAAAAAAATTTTCTAAGTTCTAAGTAAAGAGCATGTTAAAATTTTTCGCCCATTAAACTTTGACTTTCAAAATGTGTTCAGGCGTTTTCGTTGACAAGAAACGACGTTTTCTGGCAAAACGGACCTAACTCCGCCAAGATTCCGACATGTTAATGGCCATTTTTCCGTTTAATACCGATTTCCATCCCATTACTGGGCAAGGTATTTCGATGTTTGTTCGTGCTCAAGCTCCTCAAAAATCAAAGTTAGCTTAATTTGAATCGCTTGTGCATCATCGTTACCGCCAAAAGTTTATGCCTCTAGTCTTTGACAACAATCATATCGCGTTTTTAGGGTTCCTCCAGAGCAAGACCTTTAAGGCAACCGTGACGCGTACCTCGATTTCAACTTTTTTTTGCTGGATTTTTTTTCTGGTGTAAACCTAGCGTTTTTGCGCCGGCTAAAGTGTTGACTGGTCATTTCCGAACTCTTCCTGTGGTTTCTTTGTTCGTCCGGCCATGCTGAAGTTTCTTATGGGATCGGAAAACATGCGCATTTTCAGCGTTTGCAAGGAGAGAAGCGCGAAGAGCGTTCGAACTTCTCCAATTTATTCTGAAGAGATATGACGGATTCACGCGCAGTTTTCTTTTTAAGCTTATTAAATACACTTCAACGATTCATAGAAATTAAATTATGGTCTGCAAAAACAGGGAAAAAATAGGAAAAAACCGCTTTGCAACTTTGTCCGGATAATTTTGGGACACCCTGTACAACTCCCTTTCCTGAGGTGATTGAAAAAATATAACCACGGGGATTATATCAGATGAAATCAGGTAACGGGTTTTTTTTTGTTTTGCCATGCTCCTGAAAATTCTCAACGTTCAGGTTTGACGCTGATGCTGACTGGCCATATTCAACAAATTTGCAAAAGCGGAGCAGTCGGTTACAATATTGTTTTTTCACTGATGGAGGATGCGGATGAAAAACAAACGTAACTGTGTTTTTGCAGATGTCATTTTAAATGCAAATTGTATTTATTGATTAATATGCAATGCAATGTACTGATTGATCATGGGATCTGCGAATGGACATAAACATTACTGTTTTTAAGGTCTTTTATGATGCCGGCTTCTCACCGCAGATTTTATGAATTGTATCGCAGTTAGATTTTATAAAATTAGGGGCTTAATCGCCAAAACAATTAGTTTCGCGAAAAGCAGGTAAGAATAAGATGACCGTATGAATCAGGCCCTACGGTATCGATGCCTTGGAACCGATTACGACATGAAACGTCCTTATTTATCGCATGACCACCCACATACGATTGCGGAAAATTTCATAGTCGGAATAAATTGGTTTACAAGCCTGATTCCTACAAAATGTAAAAATCAAAATGACGGATCACAGCAGCCGCTGTGATTATCATCGTCTTGCATCAGCGAATAGGCAACGCGATACTTATAGCGACAAATTCTCCATCCCACTCATCCATTTCCTTCCAGGAACATACACCGTCACCATCAGCGCCCGCCCTAAATTTTAGGCGTTTTTTTGTAATCTTTTGTAATTTCGAAATGCGCCTTAGCTTATGATCCGAATTCGGAATCAAAATGATGTTTTATAACAAGAAAAACGCAGTTAATTCTTTCTGCTTCACTTGACCTACCAGCACTCTCTCCAGTGCCCGATACCGGATCCCATGTTCTGAAAGGGTTTGGGGTACTTTTGTATTATCGGGAGGGATTGATTTTGGTATAGAATCAGACTTGGAATAACGGTTTTGGCCTGCAATTTAGCGATTTTTTTTGACGCCGGTGCCGTCAGAAATGGCTTGGTTCTAGGGTTTCCGAGTTCCTACCGGGTGGCCAGAAAAAAAGTGCATGGTTTGCACTGAAATATCTCGACAAGGGAAACTAATCAGACCATGGTTACCTTGTCGGAATGCTTAAATATGCTGGGTATGAAGAATAAACACAAGTTGTTTTTTATGATTTTTGGCTCGTTAAGAATTTTTGAACATTTTTGTAAAAAATAGAAAACCTCGAAAAGGAAAATCATGGATTTTTTTGATGAGTTAGGGGGATTTCAAAGGTATCAAAATGAAGCTCTGGCAATTCGCTATCGATAACGTGGTAAAGAATATCGATCCGTTTAACCAACCGTCAATACGAGCGTTCGGAAGATCGGGACTTTTCCAGCAGGGGCGATTCCCAGTTGACCACAAAAATCCCATTGTTGCCATAACATTTTGTACCTGTTAAATATATAATCCTGGTTGCCAAAGATAACCATGTTATAAATTTTAACTCGTAGAAAGCGTAGAAATTACAAATTCCGTTGACCTGGCAAAGTGTTACAAAAATTTTTTGATGGGGAGTTTGAAAAACTTGATCCCAAAAGTTAGTAGGTATTTATTGCTAACTGCAAAATATCAGAAAGATCGGATGGTCAAGGAATTTTATCTGGAATTATTCCTTCCAAAAGTCCCTGCTTCCGAACGCTCCTATTGACGGCTGGTTAAACGGATCGACATTCTTTACCACTGAATCGATAGATATTAACAATACCAATGCCAGAGCTTCCTTTTGATACCTTTGTAATCCCGCTAACTCATCAAAAGCCCCATACTTTATCGCTTCAAAGTTTTCTACTTTTTCAAAAATGTTCAAAAATTCTTAACGAGTCCTTTTTTCTTTTTGTTCTTTCCGGCACTTTTTCTGGCCATTCTGTACACAGCACGCACCAAGCCGCAACGGAATTGCGACGCATCGATAGGCAGAGTTAATGACGCTCAATTTCAATCCGAAAACGCGGGAATTTACCGAATATTAAATTAAAATTATAGTTTTTATGGCATTTTCAAGAAATTTCGTGCGCTATGGGGTTTTTAAAAGCACTACAAAAGGTTCAAATCGAATCCTGCTCTGCGTTATTTGGTTAAGCGCGTAGCTGTAAATGATAAATAAATGGAAAAATGGGTGAAATTCTTCACTCTTCAAAAATCAAAAAAAAATTCAAATAAAAAGTCGCGATGAATTCCCAGTGTTTTTAAGGCGCATAAAATCGTGCAAAATTGATGAAATTGCGTCGAATTTTAGCTGGTATAAAGATGACTTCGAGTTTTGTTTGCCGTGCGAATTTCTGTCATGTCCGAGGCTGCGTTTTTATACAACCACAGTTTGCATGTATTCATACTTTCAAAAATAAAGATTTCTTCGGTCAGATGCTGGAAGTATTTTCGTCTTTTTGGGTCGAAGGAGACCGCAGGGGCTTCCGTCATTTACGGGTTCGTAGCGCAAGGCTTCGATACCAATTACAAAGCATTCCTTTTCACCTCTGGTCCCTGAAAATAGATAATTTCTCAAAATATTATATTTTACATTTATATTTTTATCAGTTTTTTTACGGAAGCTAGAAATGTCGCTGCCTAGCTGATGCAAAAATAATCGTTGATAAAAATGAAAAGATCAAGAATTAATATCAAAACGAAAGATTATTTGGCTATAATTGTGTGTATCTCTGAATGCCTTAGGTGTTCGTTTCTTAGGTGTAGCGTTAGGACTGACTGAATTAGGTTAAGTATGAACCTCTTAAATATCTTGAATTCCTTACGACCAGCTACCGACCATTTCTAACCTGACCACTCGAACCGGGTCCAACGATAATTTACCGACCTGAGATACCGAATTTACTTACCGATCTCCGACTTCTTCATCGTCTTCTTCAGTCCTGTCTTCATCTTCGGTGTTCTCTTCTTCTTCTGCGCTTGTAGTTTGCGTCTTGTTGGGTTTTACGCGGCTCTTATGCACGACGATTTGGCCTCTTTTTGTCCTCCCTTTTTGAGTGACTGACGATCTTTCGTCTTTGATTACCGAATATGGTCCATCCCAGGCTGCTTCAAATTTTCCCGCGTTTTCTCTTTTTACCATCACTTGGGCGCCTTCCGCGTATTTCTTCTCTGCCCGATTCTCATTTTTCTTCTTCTGGTTCATTTCCGTTCACTTCCTGTGATTTCATAACTACTTAAAGTCATTCTTCAATGGTTCTATTCTGCCTTTCAGCGATGCCGTTGGTGACATGGACGTAGGCATGTCCCAGTTTTGGTGCATCCCAAAGAGTTTTAAAGTTTCTTTAAACGCTTCTGACGTAAAAGATGAGCCTCGATCCGACACGATTTGTTTCGGAAATCCGTGCTTGGTAAGCAATTCCTCATAAATTGCCTTGATCGTGGTCCCGGATTTGGTGTCGGGTACGGCTTTCGTGATCGTGTATTTGGAGAATGCGTCCACTAGCACGAGGAAGTATCTCATACCTCGCGGAGTTTGTGGAAGTGGCCCGCAGTGATCTATGTGGACCCGCTGCCACGGTCGTGTGGCCTCTTCGAATTTCCCAATGGGAATTTGCGCAAGGTAGGGTCCTTTCTTTCGGGCCTGGCATTCTCGGCAGCTATTTACTATAGCATCAACTTGGCGTTTTTGATTGTTCCATACGAACCGTTTCCTCACGAGATCAAGCGTTCGTTCGGCTCCTGAGTGTGCTCCCAGATGTGCTTTCGTGTGATAGTAGAGCACTATCTGTTTGTTCCGCTCCGAGTTGAGTTCCACCCATAAAAGCCACAATTTGGATACTTTGCAACGTAATAAAGTTCTGGATCTGGAGAGATGTTGCTTTTGGATAGCCCGAGATAGGTGTTTTAGCCCGGGCATTCTTTGTTGAAATCGGCCGGTTTGCCCGCAAGTTGCTGGACTTCTTCCACCACTTTTTTGGTATGACCCAGGAATCTTTAATTTTTTTATTTCATTGGCTATTACCGGGACTTGTTGGATGAAGCATACGCTATTGTCTTCCAGAGGCAAGGGTGACTGGCGTAGTGTTCGCAAACCGCGTGACTTGTCCGGCGCGGCTCTCACGGCTCATCATAAGCCCTTCAACTGCGAACTACAAACTATATTTCCCCTGATATCTTTTGCATGAGGTGTACAATTGCACATTGACGGTTTATTAGTCTTGATGGACATTGTGGCGGGCTCTCTTTTACTGTGGTCTTTATAGATAGTGTGTAGGGACGTTATTCCAATATAGCACGTTTATCGTAAGATCGCATACCCGTGCCCATTACAACGACTGATTCGATCGACAACCAACGATCCCGCATAAGTCCGATATTTGGCTCGGAGCACACAGACTTTTTCAATATTCAGCAAATGGAGGCGAAATTGCGCTATAAATCTCGACGGGGTAGCAAGGGACACGCAGCCTTCCGGCTCGAGCCCATCTAAGAAGATCTCTACCTGAGAATACACCGTACAATTATTTCCGCCACAGGTACACTCGTCATGCGACACCTCAACGCTCCGTGATTATCGCATGCAGGCACCGGAGAAATCAACATCATCGCAACAGTAACGCCTAAGAGCGCGCGTTGCACCGAAGTTCCTGCAAGTCGAGCAGGTCCTCGATTCGTGTCCAGCCTTGGCTGTTCCACCAATGGCGCTGTTGGGGCGGCGATTCGTTGCAACTCAATGCCTTGCGTAGGCTGTTGCTCTCGCAGTCTTGCGCAGAGAACAATAAAAAGTCCGATGGCAATAACAACCGCAACAATCAAAGGCCCGCAATGCGGATATTTTACTATATATAGTGCCAGTACTGAAAAAATAGAAACTGCAAATCTTGAATGACTTCACAGATTTCATAACCTGGGCAGCTTTTATGAAGGAGGATTTGTTTGCCCGTCAACTGGCTTGCTTTCTTCCAGAAGATATTATGGACCTTTGAGCAACTTCCTTCCGGATCTACCCGATAGTCGGTGGTATTTGCCGAGGGAAGGGGAGCAGCCTCGCACTTATCGTTAATGCATACCCGATTCAGCGACGGCCACACGAGATCTCCATCAATTAGTGTGGCACCGAATTTGGTACAAGTTTTTCACAATGCTTTTCGGTGCCTTGACACTAGTATGCATTGGTTGGTGTTGAATGGTGAGCATGGCTAG